CTTCCTGGGGAAGGATATAAGCTACTTTTTACGAGTCGCGATCCCAGGGGTAAATACCACTGCATTATGGTTGGAATACAATCGCCAGACATTGGTGGGGGTGGTGGGATTGGTGTTGGTGGAAGTAGTGCTGGTGTTGGTGGAAGTAGTGCTGGTTTTGGTGAAAGTAGTGCTGGTGTTGGTGGATAGTGTAGCTGATGGTGTCAGTAGTGGTGGTCACCACCACCATCTTTCCCTTAAATTTTTCACATGCATTATGTGACAACCCTATCAGAATAGGTATACATTTTCGACGTTGTTAAGAAGCTTCCCCTCTGGTCCTTACTCTTTACTCTGTGCCGCTGGCAATACGTCGCAATAGTTTGCACTGCGTGGCAACGTAGCTTTTTAATGTTCAAGGATTCAAGTTCATTGAATCATTGACTTAGTGACCCAATTCTATAGAGAGTTCAAATTTGCTTAAAATTAAAACTCTATTTTTTGACCTAATTACTGGACCGATTACGTTCATTTTTTGTATATCGTCAGCAAGTATGTGGTTTCATTTATTGCCTATATGTGGGAACCATTCTGTATATTTATGTATATTTATGATTTCCTCTTATATATTTATTCAGCCCAGATAGATGAGAATACTTTAAAAATATTTTATTTATTTAAACTTTCATGCACAAAGTTGTACATATGGCGGACTTAATGATCTCTCCCAGTCAACCATTAGCCTAAACAGAGATAGACAAACAAGAGGCTGTGCAGCAGTAATCAAAATAGAAAGGGCTAAAAAAATTGTATATACATATACACACACATACATACACATATACATGCATACAGTACATATATACACAATACATATAAATATTATCTATGTCAGGACAAATATGAAATATATATATGTATATTAAAATAAGAGCTGTGCTAGTTCAAACTTTTAGCCCAGGAAATGAAGCTAAAAAAATGGTAAAGCCTCGCAATTTTTTCGTCCAGCACCGATTTGTACAAAAAATTGGGATTAGGCTTATTTCACCCTCTAGTTCATTTTCTACATTGTGCCGTTGTACGCTTTTTGTTTTTTAGGGGTGAAAACTACCCCTTATTGTCAAAAATTATAAAATAACATTAAAAACATAAATATGGGTAAAAATAGTTAAATAATGATTGTTTCATGCTTCAGGATACAATTTCATAATCTTTCAACATACCCTTGTTAAAAACTACCCTTGAAAACATTGAAATTGTCAGAGCACGTGCTACTGTCTTCAAACTTTAGAATACATTGGTGAGAAGTCAACGAAATATACGCTCACACACGCATACACGTGAGCAAATGTTTCTTCTACTCTGTCTTCCAATAAGAATCGAAAAAGTGGAACATAAAGATGAGACGTATTTGCGCTATCAGGTTTTAAAACCAGGTATTCACTTCAAAGTACGGCGCCCTGGTACGAGCAAAAAATACTTGCAAGTATGAAAATACTTGCATAGGAAAATTAACCATATCTCAATAGTAGTAAGGAACTCAATCGTATTTGTGAACGAAAAATACTTAGAACTTCAAAGTATTTTTTTTTATTTATACGACTTTGCTCCTTATTCATAGTAGGTGTTAGGGATCGCAGTGGACTGTATTATTGAGGTACGCTAGGGACAACTGCTTAAAGAAAAGATGGTACTGTCGAACTATACTGTATTCAAACTGTTTACAATATGGCACTATTAATTACACTATATACAGAGGGGAGTCTTCTTAATGGAGTCTTCTTGAGTCTTGATTTTCTTGATTTCTCTTGCTGTTTTCTTCTCTTCGAGTGCCGCTTTCGAAATGAACAGCTCACCGACTTTTTTTTTTTTTTTTTTTTTTTTTTTGCGCCCGAAGCAATTGGAAAAGGGCTACCCCGAAGGGAGGCAGAAAATGCATTACGCATACCACGATGGCCGGTCCATCGTGGTTATGAGGGACTCACTACCTACAAGGGGGAACCTAAGTGATACCCTCTAAAAACTGCCTTTGGGGACTGGCAACCAGCTGTTGAAAGCTTCACATGCCGTATCGTAAAGCGACCCTCTTTTGGGAAAAGAGGGCGCAGGCGGCTATAAGCCGCTGAGGGAGTGCCTGGGAAGGCAAATTAATTATGAATAACTTAATTAGAGTTGGCCTGAGCCGCCAGGAGGCAGTTCAGGTCGTTTGAAAGTTTATTAGGCGGGTCCGAGAGGGAGTTCCTCGGCCTGCGGACGCTATAGCGGGAGGGGAGTGGGGCTGCATAATTAGCAGCCTCACGAATAAAATGATTGGAATGCGACTCTGAGGCTTTGAAGAAGTTCTCAGAGAGTTTTTTAAGGAATTGTTGAATTGTAGGGAGCTCTAGGTCCCGATGAAGGTCGGCATTGCGGACGTACCAAGGTGCGTTCGCAGCTCGACGACAGAAAAGGTTTTGAACTACTTGGAGTTCATTAATAATTTTAGGGTTAGAGTGGGCGAAAATGGGGCCCGCGTAGGACATGACTGGTCGTATACAGACCTTATAAAGGGTACGCTTGTTTCTGAGGGACATTTTACTGTGTCGGCCCAACATACTGTTGAGCCTATTCAGGTAAAAACGTGCGTGACGGGTTACTCTTTTGACGTGGGGCCTGAAAGTTAGCCCTGTGTCTAGAGTGACACCTAAATATTTGGCAGACGTATGCCAGGGGACAGGGGTCCCTAGCATACGTATTGGTGGAGTGTTTTTGAGACGGCGTCGTTTATAATCGAAGTGAACGGCGGAGCTCTTCTCCGGGTTCACATCGATGCGCCATTTTTTGAACCAAGCTCCTAGGTCATCAACTGACTTCTGGACCTTGTTCCGTATGAAAGGTAGCGAGATACCTTTGCAGTAGAGAGCAGTGTCGTCTGCGAAGAGGGAGAGCTGAACACCTTTCGGCGGAATGGGAATGTCGTTGGTGAACAGTATGTACAGCAGAGGAGCAAGAACTGAGCCCTGAGGGACACCAGCTTTGATGGGGCGCTGTGAAGATAGCGTGCCTTCGTGTCTAAAACGAAAGGTACGATGATTAAGATAAGAGGCCACGAGACGTACTAGACGATCGGGGAGACCTATTTTGTATAGTTTGTAGATAAGGCCTGTATGCCAGACTCTATCGAAGGCTTTGGCGATGTCGAAAAAGACCGCGATAGTCTTATGACGACGGGGATAAAAACCGCTGAGGATATATTCCACAATACGGTGAACTTGTTGGGGGCAGGAGTGTTTCGCTCGGAAACCGAATTGATGGGGAATGATAAGAGGGTCACCGTCTGTGGGAAACAGATGGCGCCTCATGCGATTTTGAATGACTCTTTCAAAGAGCTTGCCCATGGCCTTGAGGAGGCTAATGGGACGATGACTGGAGGGGAGATTAAGAGGCTTGCCTGGCTTGGGAATACCAATCACAGTTGCCTCTTTCCACGTAGTGGGAAAGTAACTAAGGTTGAAGCAGGCATTGAAGATAATAGATAAAAGGGTTAGCACCTGCTCAGGAAAGTTTTTTAGGGCTTGGTTGGAGATGCCATCCGCGCCCGGAGCCTTTTTAGGCTTAAGTCCTTTGATGAGGGATGAAAGCTCATCATTGGACACAGAGATAGGTTCGGAGGCTGTAGGGGGCGAGTTCCGGCGGCGGACCTCATCCTCCACTGCCTGGACGTGTGAGGGGTCTACGGGTTGAGAGCTAGGAGAGCATTGAGCGGCAATGCTGTCTGCAAAGCACTCAGCCTTTTCCTCGTCCTCGAAGGCTACCGTACCGTCGGGACGGGAGAGAGGGGGAGTGTGGAAGATAGCGTCTATGCGGAGGGCTCTTGCCATCTGATAGTACGCTGTATGAGAGGGAGAGATATTCTCCATGAGCTTACTCTTTTCGAGGTCTCGAAATTCAGAGAGGCGGAAACGGAGTTCTCGTTGAAGACGATTGGCCGTGCGCCTATATTCGGGCGTGGGATATTTTGCTGCTCTCCGGAAAGCAGCTTTTTTGGCTTTTAATAGGTTGCTAATATGCAGGGGAAGCCCACTATTATTAGCAACCGGGACGACCCTTTCATTCTCCTTAAGGGAGGTTTTAATAAGGGTGGAGAGTGAATCGACCGCGGTGTCGATTTTTTCAGGACTGTCTAAGTCCGAAGATAGGGAGATGGGGGAGTCCTGTGAGTCCAGAGCTTTCGCTAGGGACTCCTTGAAGCCCTTCCAATTTGTGAAGGTTTTAGTAGAGGGTGTTGGGAGTGGTGGCTGATGGCCAAGAATGAGAGAGACCGGTCGGTGGTCGGATCCTAGATCGTCTAGTGTCTCGATTGCCCTAAGGTTGAGAGAAACTCCTTTGAGTAACGCAAAATCTAGTACATCGGGGGCATAGTCGGTGTTATCGGGAAAGTGAGTAACACCGAGAGGACTGTGGACGGTAATATCAAGAGACTGCGTGATATCGAGCAGTAACTTGCCACTACGGGTGGTAGTACGGCATGTCCATTCAGTATGCTTGGAGTTAAAATCTCCAAACATAATGACTGAATTGCCTAGAGATAAAATAGCCTCAAAATCTTTTTTGAGGGGAAGGGTTTTAGAAGGGATGTAACAGGAGGCTATGAAGATGGACTGATGTCCAGTCATAGCTAGCCTGCATACTGTGGCTTCCATGTTGGAAAGTTGCGGAGTAGAGATGGGAGAACAGTGAAGTGTCTTCTTGTAATAAATGGCCGTACCGCCGCCTCGGCGGTCGGGTCTATCATTACGAAGAAGAGAGAAGTTTTTGATGGAAAGGCCTTTAGTGTCCTTAGTATTGAGATTAGTTTCCTGTAGGAGGAGGAAATCGGTTTCACGATTTTGAAGAAAGAGCTTAAGCTCTGGGAGGTTATTTCGCAAACCGCGAATGTTAAAGGATACAAGCGATAAACCCTTAGGTTTGATACGACCGTGGGATTTTGGTAGAGCAAACTGCTCTGTCATTGTGAGTTAAATTAATTAAGTTAACTTAACTTACAATGAGCACAAAAGATTATGATGCTCTGCAAGAGCGAGGAGACGGTCCTGAGGGGACCTCGCAGCGCGCAATTTGCGTGCTAACACAGCGATTTCCTCAACGTTGATGTTCCTAATTGCGGAATACACCGTTTTTAGGTCATCAGCCATTGAGGGCTGTGATTGTTGTGGTTGAGGGGCGGAGGATGTCCGCGGTGGTACTGCCTTTTTGGGGCCCCAGGGAAAAACTGGAGGCTGCATAGGCTGAGAGAAGCCCGGAGGGGGCCGAATAGTGCCCTGAGGGGGCCTAGGAGGACCCTGAGAGGGTCGAGAGAAGCCCTGGGTGGGCTGAGAAAGGCCCTGACGGGGCATCCGTTGGTAAAGAGCCGGGAATGAGCGGTCATTGACCGGCGGTGGAGCTTGCCTACTGGGGCGAGGATGAGGTGCGCAAGGGCAGCCTCTGTAGTTAGCCGGGTGGCCCGTTTGTTTACACAGGACACACGCGGGTGGGGATTCGGCGTCTTTGGGCCGAGGACACTCTTTAGTGTTGTGGGGTTCAAGGCACTTAACGCACCTGGGTGGGGCGGAGCAGTTGGCCGCCGCATGACCATACAGCTGGCAGCGGTGGCACTGCGCCGGGAACCCGCGCCTATGTGGAGGCTCAACCCTCACTCTCGACAGGCCGCACACTGTGCGTACCTGCCGGAAGATGGCTTTCGCCTCCGGCACGTTGGTTAAAATTACTAGGGCAAGAGAGAACCTCTGGCCTGTTCTACTGTGCATTTTGTGCACGGCTTCTACGGGGAAACCTTGGGACTTAAGGTCCTCAAGGATTTCTTCGTTTGAAAATTCGAAGGGGACGCCGCGGATGACGGCCCTGACTTTGCGCTCTTCCGGAAGAGCGTATGTATGATAAGAAACTCGTTCGGCTGTGAATAGCCTGGTGAGTTGCCGGAAGTCGTCGATTGATTGGGGGATGATCTTAATAGCCTCCCCGAGGTTGATGGCGTGGTCATATTTTATGCCTGCGTTGTAGCAGGTTTTGGAGAGTTCTGTGAATTTAGCCTTGTCTCTTAGGAAGACAGGGGGCGGGACTTGCTTCTTGGCAAGGACTGGAGCACAGCGAGAGGCTGGCTTGGTCGGAGCGGGAATGTCTAGTGACATAAGTGGGGCTGAGGCAGCGGCGGGGGCTGCAGGGGCAGAGGCGGCAGCGGGAGCTGCGGAGGTTGAAGGAGCGGCAGGGGCCGCTGAGACAGGGAGGGTGCGGTTTTTAGCGGCGCGTTTACCGTTGCGCTTGGAGTTCACCGTGGTGAACGAAGAATCCCCGGTTCCGTCGGAGTCACAGGACTCCGATGAGCCGGTGCCAGAATTGGTGGCGGGCCTCTTCCGGGAGGCCGATGCAGAGGACTCGGAGCATGCGTACTCCATTTCTAATGGGGCGAAAGAGTTCTTTGTCTCTAGGTAGGCCGCAAGTACGGGCGGCGGTTGGAGTGCCTGACGGGCAGGGGGAGTAACATGGGCGGCGATGGCGGCAAGGGCCGTCTCATCGAGGTTTAGGCCCAGACCAAGAGTTTGGTTTAGGGCGGCGACGAGGGACTTAATTTGGGTAATTGTGGACATGTTGAGGGCAGTAGTTTTACGAAACGTATTTGATACGGAAGGGGCTAGTGGGTGCTGTTCTGAAAAGAACAGAGACGTTATGTACCTAAACAGTAAGGGCGGGATCACCGTTCTGAGAAGAACGGGACGTTTTTAATTCTAGGAGTAAGTGCCCCTGCTCTCAAAAGAGCAGGGCCTTGCTCTGAAAAGAGCAAGTAACTCCCTAGAAACAGTATATACACGTACACGTTATACAAATAAATAACGAAAACAAAATTAGAAATAGTTAACAAAAGAATTAACAATAAAAATAACAATAACAAGCAAGACCAACAGTCAAACCGCCCTGCCCGGAGACAGGGAGGTAATAACTGGAGTTAGCGTAAAATGACTCACCAAGGCGTCGACGCTGTAAGCGCGAGCAGGACAGCGGAGGCGCGAGAGCGAGAGAGCACTACCGTACGGGGACGGATGCGCGGACTACCTGGACACGACCGCTCGAGAGCGGTGCCACAGGCGGAATCAGCTCACCGACCGAGACGCCCTTCTTATATCTCGCCGGAGAGCGTCTCGGATTGTGAGTAGCGTCGTCCGCGATGCCGCGCGCTCATTGGTCGGCGACATCGCGTGATCTGCTGCCGGTGTGCGGGGTGCGCGGGGCGCACCGGGGTGTGAAGGGGCGACGGGGCGGCGGCTTCCTCGCTGTCCGCTACATCCTCCCCCCGGCGTAGCCTGCGAGCCTAAGCTTCTCTCGGGAGGACGGCGATCTTCCCGACGGGCTACCGCAGCACTCCTCCCTTGGTCCGGACCTCGACGTTTCACACCACGCCGTCTGGTCCAGGAAACGTCTTCGTTACGATGCCCCGCGGCCACACATTCCTGGGTAGGTTGCCGTCTGCAACCACGACGAGGTCCTCTTCCTGTATTTGGCGCTGCTGAGCATCTCTGGAGTCCCCGCGCGCGACCAGCGTCGGCAGGTACTCCTTCACCCAGCGCCTCCAGTACTCGTCGGCGAGCCCCTGCGCCGCTCTCCACGCCCGACGATCCATGGGTGTGCACGGCGCGGTGATTGGCAGGCCCGATGGTCCCAACAGTAGGAAGTGGTTGGGTGTCAGCGCCTCTTCATCGTCGATGTCGACCGGTACGTGCGTCAACGGTCGAGAATTTACAGTATTTTCGGCTTCAGTCAGAAGCGTTGCCAGCGTTTCTTCTCGTGGACTCTTCTGATGGAGAGTGGCTTCGAGCGCGGTCTTCACTGAGCGCACGAGACGCTCCCATGCGCCTCCCTGGTTAGGCGCACCCAGTGCGATGAACTTCCAGTCGACGCGCCGAGTCAGCGCATAATCCTTCAACTGTGGCGCCCACTCTTCCATTGCCCGTCGTAGTTCTGTGTTTGCCCCATGAAAATTAGTCCCATTATCCGAATAAATAACCCGTGGCCACCCACGCCTAGCCGCCATGCGCCGCAATGCCGATATCGCCGAGTCCGTGGTCAGAGAATAGACTATCTCTAGATGTACTGCGCGCGTCGTTAGGCACGTGAACAGTGCCACCCACCGTTTTTCGTGCCGTCGTCCTATCGTAACCGTCAGAGGCCCGAAATAATCAATCCCGGTGTTCGTAAATGGTCGCGCAAACGCCCCTAACCGTTCAGGTGGTAGGTCACCTGTAACCGCAGGTTACAGGAGACCTACCACCTGAATATATATAGGCAATAATAGTAGTACGTATTGAAAGTAAGTAGTATCAATTTATTTGTCATGGGTGACATTTTCATGGTTTTCGAGTGTGTTGAAACAGATAGGGTTGTCGAAATGTAAATCCAAGATGGCAGCCGCAATAGGTATCAATTTTTTCATCATGGGTGTCATTTTCATGGTTTTCGAGGGTGCTGAAGCCGATAATGCTGTCGAAATGTAAATCCAGGATGGCGGCTGAATTAGGTACCAATTTTATTATCTTGAGTATCATTTTCATGGTTTTCGAGGGTGTTGAAGGCGATAGTGCTGTCGAAATGTTAATCTAAGATGGCGGCTGAAGTAGGTACTAATTTTTTCATCATGGGTGTCATTTTCATGGGTTTCGAGAGTGTTGAAGCCTATAGTGCTATCGAAATGTAAATCCAGGATGGTGGCTGAAGTAGATACCAATTTTTGCATCATGGGTGTCATTTTCATGGATTTCGAGGGTGCTGAAGCCGATAGTGCTGTCGAAATGTAAATCCAGGATGGCGGCTGAATTAGATACCAATTTTTTCATCATGGGTGTCATTTTCATGGTTTTCGAGGGTGTTGAAGCCGATAGTGCTGTCGAAATGTATTTAAACTACTTTAAAAAATGCCGTTTAATCATGTTATACGTAATTTTTTTTATTGCGCTTAAGGTGCCCAATTGGATTTACCAATATTTTATAATTATTTATTTATTGCATTACTGTGTACAATAATTAGAGATGACATAGTTGTAGCTTGTGAGACATTAAAGAGAATGTAACAATGTGTCTGTAGTCTTTCTGCCTGGACCTGACGGATTTTAAATAATAATGTCCTCCAGACCGCATTTGGGCCACGGTGGCTAGTATCAAGAAAGGAAAATCTATAAAACCCTTTTTTATAGAATTAGGGTGACAAACTAGCACACAGTCCACCTGCTGGTAAGTGATTGCTGTGGCCCATAGACATCTGCATCTATCTTCGAATGCGATTTAAAATGCAGATGCGTTGTCATCCGTGAGGACTAAGATAGAATGCCGCTTTTCCAGTAAAAAGTGTCTCCGGTTCTCTACACTCACCATACAAAACACAGCAGCATTAAGGTGATATTTTACGCTGCTATTCTGTGAGAGCGTGGTCCTGCCTCCGGTCGTAAATTTGCTGAAAACAGGATTATATACATGACGAGAGTATAGGATTCTGTGCAAGCTGATGGCACGGCAATCTGTCACAACCGAAGAGTTACCAGGCGCAGGATCGACAGGTTTTCAAGGCACGAGTGTAAAAAACAAGTAATTCCAGGCATTTAGAATTTCTTGACAGAAAAGCTCAATAACTTTTGAGCCGATTCGTGATTCGATCTCCGGTCCTCGTGAGCGGCAGTCGCGCTTCCGCCAATGAGGCATATTTTTTTTACACTCTTTACACCTATAGCAACGTAGACTTTTTAAGTGAATTGACATTTCCTTTGATTTTTTCAGCTTTTTCAGAACATTGACGCCTGGACCCGTCACGTGAGAATCGAACACGATGATGGTAATTTGTAATAGATTTTTTTTTATATTTAAAGGCAGTGCACACCTGTTGCAATTCAGTCTGTGTTAATCGAATTTTCTATTTATACTAATAATATTATTTATATCCGGTTCACGAGCATGATATTTTATGTAATCACTAGCGAGCGACTCGTGAGTTATAGGAAATTACGGCAATTTGATATGATTCTGTTCACGTAATCGTTTTCAGAAAGTAAATAAAAGCTTACCCCGCAAAAAATTAAATTAAATGGAGAAACTAACATGGCCATACATTCGGATTGTGTGGGCGCGGACGACCGACAGGTAACATTAGCGTGTTATATTCATCGCCAACGACGGTGTTGCCAAGTTTTCCTTTCGAATACAATCTGAGCGTAATAAAATAGGCTTTTGTCACACTAGGATAGTGCGATTTACCATTTAGGGCTTCAACACCACTTACCATCAGGTGGGATTGTAGGAACGCACTGGATTATAATAAATAAAAAAAAAGTTATGTACTACTTGTGCTTAATACGTATTGATATTTTCTCTTGGGTTGTGCTCTGCCCTTAAAGCAAACGATTGGGCATAGGTTTGTCAATTTAGTGTTTCTTTAAAAAAGATAGGTTCACTGTTGCTTACCGAATAATACGTGAAAAATGTATTATTCGGTTTACTTATCTTTTAATATTTGCACAGGCATAATAAGACGTAATACTTGATGAACTTCAAAATCTGTTTTAATTACGATTTAAAATTAATAAAAAAATATTTATTTAATAAGAAGTTTTAATAATTTGTTTTATAAACGGACTACGCGACGCATGTTATGTTTACCTGAATTAATTGTAAACGATAATAAAGAGTATTATTAAATTGTTGGGCGTTGTTTGTATAATTTCATCCCACATTTTTTTTTCTTTAAAATATATTTTTATAACTTGTGTGAACTATAATTATATTTATTTAAATTAGTGGTCGCCCAGTGGTTTCAACGTGTATTACTTTCGATTCGACCGTAAATTACAAAAAATATTTTTGTGTATTGTAGAAGCTATATTTCACTTACATCTCTGCGTAGATATGTATTATGTGTGCTTTTCTGTCGACTTCAAAAAGGAGGAAGTAGTAGGTACTCAATTCGATTGCGTTCTTTTTTTTATGTGTGGTACCTCAACTCTTTTCTGGGTGAAACGATTACGATGATTCTTTTTTTATTTGAAAGCTGGTGCTTCTCATGCGGTCCCATGTACATTTGATCAAGGTTTGACCAATAGTTTTTATTAATAATAATAATAATTTATATTGAAATACATAGATGGTACAAATTTTATAATTTTCAATTATTTAAAATAAATTTGCTAGTTACACTATTTACTGCTTCTCTCTCGGCATCAAGTCAGCATAGTCAACGCACAATATTATAATAACAAATACCCGATGGAATTCATAGATTTGTGGTCGTGATGAAAAATAATGTAAAATAAGGTGAAAAAAGTTTTTTTCCAAAACGATCGTTACTTAGGTACTTGGAATATTTTTATTATTATTTTTTTAGAATGACCATAAGGTCTATTTCAAGTAGTGTCCGACCGAA